AGGAACAATCAATTATCATTGACCAGGCTGTTACCGTATTTTTCGGACTATAAGACGCACCGGAGTATAAGGCGCACCAAGATTTTGAAGAGGCAAATTAAAATAAAAGTTTTTGCACTCTGCAGGCCTCCCAAACCCTCTGCACGCCTTGTTTTTTTTGTGAAAAACGAGGCATGCAGAGAGTTTGAGAGACCTGCAAAGTGCTCCTGGGGGCAGAGGCAGGGCAAAAACAAGCAAAAAACATGGCTTGCATAGGCTTTGGGAGGCCTGCAAAGTGCTCATGGTGGCTGGGGTGGGGGCAGAAATGGGAAAAAAATGGCCCTGTTTTCCACTCATTTTTGCCCTTCCCAGCCCCCAGGAGCACTTTGCAAGCTTCCCAAAATAGCAATAGCAATAGCAATAGCAGTTAGACTTATATACCGCTTCATAGGGCTTTCAGCCCTCTCTAAGCGGTTTACAGAGTCAGCATATCGCCCACACAGTCTGGGTCCTCATTTTACCCACCTCGGAAGGATGGAAGGCTGAGTCTAACTTGAGCCGGTGAGATTAGAACCGCTGAACTGCAAATAACAGTCAGATGAAGTGGCCTGCAGTACTGCACCCTAACCACTGCGCCACCTCGGCTCCGCATATCCATTTTTGCGAAGGAGGTGCGGTTTTGGGAGGCCAAAAATGCTGTATTCCGTGTATAAGAGGCACCCAGATTTTCACCCACTTTTTTGGGCGGGGGAAGGTGCATCTTATAGTCTAAAAAATACGATAATTTTGTAATCACACTTTAGATGAAGAAGATTATATACCTCATACTGGAATTGCATTTTGGTTTTAAAATAAGACAGAAGCAGTTTTTGTCAATGCTAAAAAGAGCGGGGTCGGGGTTAGCGAGATGGGATAAAAATTTCCATTGGACTCAAAGTTACATACATTCTTTGAAGTTATCCAGGGGTGGGCTGCTATTGGTTTGCCCAGGCTCGGGAGACCCGTAGCTAACGTTATGGCCGGTTCGGAGAACCTCCAAATCCCACACCTGGCTGGCCCCACCCACCTTCGCCCTCCCAGGAGTCTCCACATGGCCCATTTTGGATGCGAGGTAAGTGCAGAGCCTGCACAGAGGCTCTGGGTGGGGGGGAAATGGGCCGCCCAGAAGGCTTCTGGAATCCGGGGGAGGCAGTTTTCACTCTCCCGGAGGCTCAAGGAAAGCCTCTGGAGTCTGGGGAAGGCAAAAACACCCCCCACCATGATGTAGGAGGTCGATTAGGCCATGTCCATCATGGCCATGCCCACCCAGTAACCGGGCAGAGAACCCGTTGCTGAAATTTTGGAAGCCCACCCCTGAAATTATCTAATTCGAAACCATACTAAAAACTCTGGGTATGATCTACAGGATACCAACAGAGTTTCCTGGGTGCAATATGCGGGTTCGAACACTGCAAACAAGGTAGTGATACTTGAATTAATTTGCAGGGCTATTATTAAGATTACTTTCATACTTTATAGTTGCTCAGGCTTTTTTTTCCTCCAACAATCTGGCTCTATTTTTGCTTAACTCTCATTACCATACACCACAATCCCTTTCAGATATTCTTTGTTGAGTTTTGCGGATCACCCATTAAATTAATCTATCATCTAGAAATTATAGCTAAATAGCTTACTTTTAAAAATGCTAAAATAAGGTTATGTGATATTAGAACTTACTCTAGAGTAAATGAAAGATGGAAAATAAATCTAAAAATTCAATGTGATTGAATCAAGGTTATTTTTCCCTTTCTTTCCTCCCCCCCCCCCCCCCCCGCCAAATGATTCTATGAAACAACCTGGGAATTCTAGTCATCTGACCAATTTCAACGATAAACAAACTGCAATTTTGCTTAGAGTCTGGAACCTGCATTTTGAATTCTCATATCTTATTCTACACAGTTCTAAAGGATGACTAGACAAAACTGATCCCTGCCTTGCATAAATTTTCTACTAAATTTTTCACCAGATGGAACATATATTTGTTTTGTTTTTATGCCTGATTATTCATTACTCAGCATTTTGTTAATCACAAATTCTAGTGATTTCTGATTTAACCTCCCAATTTGGCCTTTGATCCAGGCATCTCCTGGAAATTAGTTTCTGGCTTTCTCTCTATCTCCTAGTCAGAGGAGGGTTCCTACCAGTTCGCACCTATTCGGTAGAACCAGTTCGTCAAATNAAAAGCTGCCACAGCAATAAGCACGACAGGACCCCATTTGTTTGGGTCAACATGGAAGTGAATTAGGATATAGAGCCAGGTCTGAACAGGGATGTTTCTAAGGGAATAGTTTCTGACTTATATATCATCTGACAGTTTAATGAGCTATCCAAACTTTAATCAGCAATATGGGTTTCATGCAGTTGAAGTTCTTCCCAAGACTGATTTTGAGTCAATCTACTGTGTGTGAATTAGAGAAATCAATAGTGATGTGCAAATACTATTATTTTTATTTTATACTGTATGGTTGCAGAATTTAATGTATTACAGTTTTACGAAGAATTATATTGCTATTTTTATTGTTTAAGGAATTTATACAGCACAGACGGCCAGGCTCAGATTACCATATTTTGGATGCTTTATGCAAAAATCTAGTTCTCTGGCGAAGGTTCTAATGGAAATGGAAGAAAAGACAACCAACAGCAAGATGGCTGGGCTCACCATAGGGTATACCTTGGAAGACCTAAAGCACTAAGTTAGGAACAGATTGTCACAAAGAATATCTGTGTGGCTGCTAAAAGTTGACATCAAAGTAACGGCACATAATCAATAGGAAGATGAAAGAGTCAAATGTTAATATTATACACAATGGTTATTTCTGCAGTATGAGGAAGTAGGCTTCATTATAGGATAGCCATGTTTCTCCACATATTGCTTTATTATGTCTTCTATTGCTTTACTATGAAAATACAATGCTATTTTCTTTTATTATATACTTATTTGAACAGAAAAAAAACATTTCCCTCACAATAAAATATATAAGATGACTAAATAGGTAGGAGTTCTTTAAAACATGTTATTAATAAATTTGATCCAAACTCTTCTCACCATACAGTGTAATGGTGTGAGCTGATAGTATCAATAATTTGTAGCCATTAATTAGTTTATTTCAATTCACTCTTTCATATTATGGTTTTTAGCACAGGCTTCCCTGAAATTTCAGTTAGGGTTTTGTTTTGAAAGTTGTGTGTGTAATAGCTCCCTGAGTAGAACATGACAGTGTCCTTCTATCAACAATCTGGACCACTCTATCTCATCCCCACCCCCCAAAGAAAGTTTTTTGAGAGATTAGAACAAAATAAAGGCCTTGGGAGATGTAAAAACAAGTGATTTTACTGCCTGCATCTGGCTGATTCCATTGTGTCATGGATTAAATCTCATCATTGTGATTCCTCTTGAATAGACTATTTAACATTTTATACAGGGAAGAAGGTTTGCGCAAAAGCATATGCATTTTTTAAATAGTCACATCTTTGAAAAGAATCCTTTTAAAATAAGGATGGACTGGGAAACACCTCCATTCAGAGTGTCAATAAAGTTGAATGGAGATATATAAAGACCCTCTTATCGTCATAGGAAAGACTGATGCTCAACAGTACCATTTTAAAAGGGAAATAAGATCTAATTAAGGCCAAAGCCCAAATGAAGGCAGAAGGATAACACATACATTACATGTTCTGGCAAGACATCTTCTCAATAAAAAATCAATGGATGGTGTGTTATCAAAGTAAGTTAATTGTTTGTACATCAGGATTTAGAGGCGACAGATGGTTAAATTCAGGTATTTCTCTGCCCAGACACTTTTTAAATCTTGAGCTCTTCCACAAAATGGTAGTTTATATCATTAAGCCTTCACTTATAGGTTCCTAAAAATAAGATCCAAAGCAAATATTCCTGTTTAAAAAGCATTAAGTTACCTTTCTATAGCTCGTTAAAACTCACAAATTAATATAGGTTTCTTGAATGAAAAAAAGTGCAATTTGAATGTTTTCATATTCAGCATTCTAGAATGTCACACCTGAACTGCTATACTTTAATACTAGCATTATAAGCTATAGACTGTAGTTGATTATAGTACTTGCTATAAATATTAAGAACATCCTCTGTTTTCCTGAATGATTTAAAACTTGTTTAAATTGTATATCATCCAGCCCTTGAGATGTGAAAGCAAAATGATACCCTGGTGTCACATACAATGAAGTCAACCAAGTTCTTATAGTAAATATTTAGGCTCCTAAATATTTAGGCTCCTAAATATTTAGGCTCCTAATCCTATTGTGCTCTGCATTCTGTCTCACCCATTCACATACATAAAAGCAGGGATGTTGAAATGTGAGCATTAAAGTGTGACATTTCCTGCTTTCATTTTTTGGTTTAGAAAGTGATGTCAAACATATCAAAGTATTCAGGAATAGTTTGGCCCTGAATCTCAAAATGCTATTTTCTGATCCTTAGAGATTACAACTAACTCAAACTCTTGAATATACAAGAATAAGGCAAACAACAAAGAAAAACAAATATAGCATGCATTCCAGCAGAGCAGTAAATTAAGGGAGAAATGTACATAAAAAATTAAGAACACCAGAAAGCCCAGATATGGGAGCTTAACATATACAAAGGAGATCAGTCAGAAGGAATAGAAATAATGTATTCTATTGGAAATAGCACAGTGCTGCTCAACATATTTGCTGTAAAATGCTGTAATGCCATACAAAATACATATTTTTTCAGACAAGCTATAGTTATTGAAAAGGGCTAGGTTATCAACTATTACAAATATGCAATAAATATTTCCAGAAGTTAGAATTCTTGACAAATTTTAATAAAATAGTACAACGGAATAATTTTAAACCAGCCCAGGTTTGCTTGTATAAATATATTATCCCCATAATCTTTCAGTTTATGGTAGCCAACAAACCTGAACAGAGATATCAGAATACCTAATATACTTTAAAACAATTATTTATAAACAAATGCTAATTACCTGCAAAGCAATTGCAATCCAATCTTCAGTAAGGTTTTTTAAAAAGTTCATTTACACTTAATTTTAGAAATCCTTAAAGAAATCTCTTTACTTATACGTGTTTTTTTAAAGAAAAAGAAATGAAGCATCACCATTCTAATGTCACAGTTTTGGAGACATATTCTGAAAAGACAGGTTCCAAAGTTAAGTAGATATTCCATCAAAGCAGGCAATTTGGCTCTATATGCTATTAAGTGAGCATGTAGCGTAGAAGCCCATACAGTTGTACATTAGTGCTAGAATGCTTATTTTAATCATCTCAGAGCGCTGTACTTAGCAATTAACATAAAGTCACAATTTACTGATAAAATTAATTGGTTTAAACATCAGCTGACATTTCTTGAGCATGGTTTTATATGTACTTTCAAAATAGCACAGGAGAAGGAAGTGAACTAAGTACTTTACAAAGATACCCCTGCTTATGAAGCTGAATTCCAAGGCAATCAATAAAACTTCACTAAAGCATAATAATGTGGTACTGTACCTTTAAGGTAGAAAAAGGTTCCTTGGCTGTAGAAAGTGCTTTACTCTTGGTTCCCAGTGACCACTTACCTAAAACTGAGCAATTCCTAATTTTCCCCATTCAGCAAAGCTTCTCTCTCTCTCTCTCCCTCTCCCTCCCTCTCTCTCTCTCTCTCTCCTATTCACTCTGGGAGCTTTTACCATTTAAGGTCAATGTGTAACATCTGGCTCCCTTAACAAAACTAAAGCACTTGCTAGGCTTAGCCAAGCTTCTAACATTAAAAATGCATTTTAAGAAACTATTCAGAAAGCTAAGTGAACGCTTTCCTCTATTTTAGCAGGAATGCTGTTTGGGGTGGGGGGAGCAGATCCCTATTAGCATTCTCTCACAGTTTATAACACGAGGACATTACTCATTTCTGAATAACTAAATTTAAAATGGGCACATAGAAAACAGATGAAATCTCAAGATTGTGTTAACTCTTAATGCAGGTGTATGTATTAGCAAAGGCATTTTTTTCTGGGATCTTCTTTTCACACTATTTGTAAACAAAGCTTTCAACAACATATTAACTACACCTACACATTTTGGAAAAACCTTTGACCCAGTTCAGATTAAGACTGTATTCTCCTACTTAAAAATGTTAGCTAAAAATTCATATCCAAAACGATGCTATTTACATCTACTTGCATCTTACATAATAATAGGAGAGACAAGCAGTAGTTTATTTTTATACCATGGATCTCATCTAGCACAAATCTGATTTTAAAATTTGGACTCTCAAAGTTACTTGTAGCCATAAACTCCTAGTTTTTATGGCCTTAGACAGAATAGTGAAATCTTCTATCATTTATCATATCACAGACTCAAAAATGGAATTAGTACATCAATCCTGTTAATATGGCTGTTTTTTTTACTTTTAAGCAAATTGGATAAATACCAAATTGAGCTTTTAATGAAGAACAAAAAAAACTTTATGACATTTATGCTGGGATTGTACTGTCTGGAGATGCATACCTTCCCACCATTAACACTACCTAATTTGCCTTTATGACCTTTTTTCATGATTTTCTATGGTAGGGATGTCATGTGATGTATTGCGACTCCCCTCCCCTTCGCTAAACTGAGGGTGGGCATGGGCAGCGTGTGATGCATCCAGCCCGTGGGCCACGAGTTT